CATGGTCCTCTCGTCTGTCTAACCGGGTGGACCCCGGGTCTACCGGTTGACCGTGACCGGACGGTGTCTGTCCACGGCCCAGGTCCGATCCGGGATCTTCTTCTGCCCGGTCGCGGCCTGAGAACGCGACGTTGGGGATCGTCGAAGGCTGCCCGGGTCCGAGCGGTGCACCTGAACTCTGCGGACGGTGCGGTGCACCGAACCGAGAATTGGACTGGAAAAAAGTATCTGGATGCCTTTTTTGGGTAGCTTTGATTCAACATATATGGTTCTACCCAAGAATCAGGCTCTTTTACGAAGGCACAGATGTTCGCGAGAATTAGAGAATTGAACTTGATCTGCTCGGAGATTGTAGTCAATCTGAAAGGTAGCAGGCATGCGCTATAGACCATTAGGCGGCATCGAAATGTTGGTGACACACCGCAGAAAGCTTCTTTCGTGGATCAGCCACTGATGGTTGGGCTGCAGCTAATTGCGCAAGTGGAGTCCCTGATGTCACCGTTTCCTCCAGTCTTCTGCAAGAATCAGAAACAGGTGAATAGTATCCCTCTGATTGGTGTCCCACATGGTTTTTTTCATGATCCAGTAACAGGAACTCTTGAAACATTCTGCCGATCCTCCGAGCCGCTCATCACTCTAAGAAGTCTCGGATCTTCACGTTCGGACCGGCCCCTCCGTTCATGTGTCCCCAGCCAGACCGACCCATGACGGACCGACCGGGGCCGTGGGATCGGTGGCGATTCTCCTGCGGGGTCGTGCCGTTCCGGAGGTTCCTTGGAGCGGCTGCAGTTCGGTGACTACTTCGATCAATCTTTGGAACCGCCCTTCGCTTTGCCCACTTCGTTGAAGAGCTTAAGCTTCGGCTTTGAGCCCCGGCTTCGGCACAGACCCGGCTGCTCCACCCAACAAGAATCCCGATAGTTCAAAAATACTCCCCAAGGAGCTGTCAAGATCTTCCAAGTTTTTGGTTGTCCCTAACTCCGACACTCCATGTATGCCAAACAAAACAACCCCAAACTCAACCGCCCCTGGCCCGATGTGTATTTTCCCAGCAAAGGGTCGTGTGTGCGTGAAGGGCTTTGGTTTTGCCAACAAGGACTTCGATAAGCCTCTGGACCTTGTGGAGTTGCCCGACAGTCTACAAAGCTTGACTTTGGGTGGCCTGGAGCAAGGACCGGCACTTGATCTTTGATGGAGGTGTAATAGGCTCCCTTTGGGGGGATGAAGCATATACCTGGAGTCGACCCGGAACTCGTACCTCGGAAAATGGGTACAGTCGTACTTGTTTTAAGGGGTCACGTCCCATTTTCTAAGGTACTTTGGAGTACTAATTATCGCGAGGTCTATTTCGACGAACCATGTTGGGTTCAGAGGTGTGTTTTTTACAGCGTTTGGTTTTATGCAGTTTCAAAGCCTCTTTTTTGGGTTATGTGCATTTTTGTTGATGTCATTTTTGTATCGCAGGAAATGCATTGCAAGAAAGGCACAGGATATTTCAGAAGATCAAGAATATGTTTAAGCATTCAATAAACAACATACAATTTGCAAAGAATCTGCAGACCAAGCGCCGGTCGTGTGGACTTACAACTAAGTTCTCGTAAAGTTGCGTGGTCGAAGAACATATTAGAATAGAATAACTCTTGCATAGCTTGGTAAGTTTAGCATAGCTCAGCATAAGTTCAGCGTAAGTTTAGCATGCGTATGCAAGTTATGCTGAGCCTGCAGAAAGTTTAGGATATATGCTGAACTTGCTAATCTAAGATAAGAACGAGTTCAGCATATTATGCAGAACTCAGGAAACATATGCTGAACTACTTGCATACACTTTGGGAACTTATGCTGAACTTATGTATCCTTCGTTTTTTTGGTATAAAGGTAGATGAAGTTGGTATGTGGCGTAGTTTGCTTGTGAGGTGAAACAACTGCTAGAGTTCTAGAGTAAGTCACGCTCATATTGGGACAGAGTCACATTTTGCTGGAGATCCAGAAGCCAACTTGAGCCAACGTAAACTCGTGACTTCTCGCAGAAAAAGAAAGAGTCCCAGCGTCGCCGGTACAACTATTTTTTCATATAAACTCAGCACCGCACATTGCGGACCATCGATTTTCAGGTATCTTCACTTTATGCGTTGGAAAAGCTCTTGCACAAACACGCTGCCCAAACCGTAAACCCAAATAGGGCTCGTGATAATCAATACTTTGGAGGGTCCAGGTAGACTTAAGATGACTTAAGCAACACAACATATTGCATTTGGGGCAGAAAGAAGATGCTGCTCCATTACTAAGAGACGTACTTGTGGGGTCTGCCAGGCAGTTTGGGCAGTTTGCTTGATCCCTGAAGTTGTTTGATATCTCATGTGGCGCCCGGACTTCTTCCACTCTAGCCACACCCTGCAGGGTCATGTAACCAAAAAATGAATTGGACTGCCACCGTGAAGACCTGGAGACGGACTTAGCCGGAGATAGAATTGTTTGGAGATGGTGCCAGTGGGTGCATCCAACGTTCTTGGGGGACAGGTGGCCAGCGAATGACTTGGCGTTCCCACCAGACACTGAAAAATGTCCAGCGGACCACCTGGGATTCACCTCCGATCCTGGTGTTGAGAATCAAGTGATTTGTTATTTTCCCGGGGTTGGATCACTGGAAGAAGTGGACCATTCCTTCTTGGGAATGGTATCTATTTTGTTCCCAGCTCCTTAAGCAAGCCCAAGGGATTCACTGGAACTGAAGTGCTAGAGGAGGAGCTTCTTCCGGCTTTGAGAAGGCACCAGCCACGAGACCCCATGGGCTCAGCCCAGATCAGGTGGAGGATTCTGTGGTCGAAAATAAGATCCCTGTTAAATTCTCTTGTGATCGAAAAGAGAGGACATTCAACCAATTTGCCTATTCCATCCTTCCTATTTTTAACTATTATTGCTTTGGTATTTTTGAGTTTCCATGCTTCCTACTAGTATCTAAGTATCTACTATACTGCTTTGGTATTTTTGAGTCGAGTCGTCCAGTATTTTCTGGGGAAACCTGTTGGGATAGCAAGACTTGAAAGATGGAAAGGACAAAAATCATATGGATTCAACTTCCATCAGAAGAGGTTCAACCATGAGTCGTTCAAGTCTGAAGCTCTTCATGCTCAAAGCTCAGACCAAGTAGTTGTATCAATGACGAGGCCACTATTTAGCTCTTTGTCACATCCTTTACCCTTCCCAAAGACCAGCCGCCACCTGCCATCATCTCCTGCCAATACCAACTGCCTCCATCAGCAAATACCCACCACGTGGCTCCAACAAGAGCTGGTCGTTGTCTTCTTTCTTCTTTGTTCAACAGCCAACAAGGCCAACGCTTCAATCAAGAAGTGGCACTTGTGAGATGGCCCCGATCATTGGAACACCTGGCCTTCGGATGTAGCCCCTTGGAAGCGAAGGGCGAGAGACGCGACAGGTTTTGCTTGGACAGTTGATGCCAGAAGTAAAGAGTGGATCCATTTGAATGCCTGCAGAAGAGGGCATGCTCATCAATCCTCCCATCAAGTCCAAGGGATGATAGAGTCTAACGGCATGTTTGAATCGGTGGCATTGCAGGAGATGGTTCATCTTTTGCCATTGGTTCGAGAAGCATCATCCACACCCAAAAGGTTCTTTGTGCAACTCCTAGAACCTTGTTGCAGAGCAACGCGATTGGCGCAATTGGCACAGAGCAAAATTTTGCCATTATGAGGTGAAGAGGAAATAGATTGAAATAACTGCAATATATTGCAATAATGTCCATGAGGTCTGACTTTGAGGCTACTTGGCCCACTGGCAGGTTACTTCGGTTTCAGAGGTCACCTTTGAAGAACCTGGGAAAGGAGCTTCTGAAATTACTATCTCAGCCGCTTGCAACGTATATAGTAGATCGAACATTCAACTTGTCATTTACATTTCACGAAGAGCTACTTCCCATTTGCTTGGAGATATGATCATCAAAAATGATCAAACCCTATACAGCTGTACTAGGGAGTACTTCTCCCATATGTCTTCACACAAGTCTTGGCCAACCTTTAGATGCCTGATTGGTTTGTATGGAGCTCCGTAAGTTGAGTATTGTGGTGCCATTTGCTCACGTCACCTCCTGCCCTCGACATTATTTTATTCGTTCTCATGTAAAATAGGAGAGGTTCACAAGGGCTCGCGCACGTTCTCACACATCCAAAGACCATGCAAACCGCTAGCTGTTTGACTGCTAGGCTTCCTCCATGCGGAAAAAACAACCTTCGTGAAGTGGTGACACATGTCACGCCTTTGCTGCGCCTGTTTCGCCACCGAGACTTCTCGCAGAATCTGACCGGTGTGAGACTTCCGGAGAACTTGAAGTCCTTGGCCTTTGGGCATCGCTTCCATCAAAGCGCCTTGGTAGAGAAGGAGTGACTTTCCCAGACACTCCATGAACTCTTTGCCTACAACCCCAAATTCCACCACCCCTGGACTTTTTCATGCAGATGTTTAAAGGACCACATATACCAGAATCCCGTGGGTCTGGACATCGGGTCTCGGGTCGGACCGGGTGAGAGATGCACCACCGTCCCCGGTGGCACAGAGCAGCGTCCGGTCCGGTGAGACCTACCCAGGTCCACCGTTGGTCCAGGATCGGCCCCTTTTTCGGAGGGAGGTAGAGACTCCTATGCCATGGTCCGTCAGACCGGGGAGGGTAGAGACTGGGTTTGTCCATACCGAGCTCGATGTCTTTTTTGGCAATTCGGGCGCCCGAACACGATTCCTGGAAGAAGCCTCACATGGCAAGTGGTGTGAACGTGAGCTCTGGCAGCTCGATCTACTCCGATCGGCCCCCTAAGAGATTTCGCCGGTCGAAGCGCAGGTGTTGGGGGTCGCAAGTCCGGGGGGAATGAACAGATGATGTTTCGCGCGTTGATTTGGAGTTCATTTGGACCCTAATCTCCAGGCTCTCCCAGCCATGATGGCTCTTTTGAAGCCAGAATTCAGCGGTCCGGACCGGTTTAGATCCGGATTGGAGCGAAGGATGGCGAAGGAGTGATTGTCTTCTGTATTTCCTGGGATTCCTGATCCCACAGTTCTTTGTAATGGTCAATATACAACAACCCTTAGCAAAACGATTGGCTTCACTCTCTTGTGTTGATTGGCTTCGCGCTTTGCTTCGCGTCGAACGTCCCGTTTTTTTTCGCCGGTGTGCGAAAGGGTAGGATTTGATGATACTTCACCCCCCCCCCATATGGGCATGGGTCAAAACCTGCAGCCCTGGGGCCCTGGTCCACCATGTCGCTTGACCAGTTCTGCCAGGTATCCTGGTGCCCACACCCCAGTTCGCCGCCCGCCAGGTTTTACAATCCACGTTTGGGGACGGGTATGAAGAGGTCTTGAGTCCAAATGATGCTGTTTGGAAAGTATCTCTTCAAACCTTCCAAGGTCGATAGTATGGTCCAGTTCGAGGCTGCATTCAGCCACAAACTGTATACGTAAACGTTATATAATCTGTATGCAACGGCAGCATTTTGGTTCCCCTTTTTATTTCGAGACGTTTTGACATGTTTGGGGCCAAGGGCTTCTTGACATTGGTGGCTGGTGCATATGCTTCATGTCAGGATGCGCAATGTGATGACACCGCATGGCTGCAGCTACAGTCCGAGCCAGACCTTCCACAAGATCTGAAAGCGCTGCGAGATTGCAGCCCTGACGACCTGGGCTGTATGGCACAGCAGCAGGCCTGCTCTTTGGCCACAAAGATGGCGTCAGATTGGCCGAATTTCCCAGAGATTCTGGAGATCTGCCACCAGTTAAAAGACGTTTGTCTTGGACGCCCCCTGAGCTTCAAGACTCCAGAGGATGTTCCTGGCGCCTCGGGACAGACAGATTCTGAGATGTCCTTACTGTCCTTCGCAGACTGGTGTCCTTTCTGTTCTTTGGTTACCAGACACTTCAAAAACTCTTTTGTTATTTTGGCGACGAAACATGTTGGTTGAAAACAACCTGAAAACAGGTTACCACAGATTCTGGCTAATTCGCTTCCATGTCCTTCTAAATGCCCAGGGGTACTGCACTGTGATGTTATTTGGCATTACCTTCCAACCCTTTTCTGGCACTGCCAAGAGGTAGCACTGTCTTCCCTCTCCTCGCCACACTGCCACACCACCAGAAGGGTGCTTACTAGGAGAGTCGACCGGCTTTGACTCTTTGATGGATGCCAGTAAGCAAGTTTTCAGGCGGCGAGTGTAGCGATGCGAGGGTTTGCACCACCAATGTCATAGAGTATGAGAAGAAGAACGAATTGGCGAAGTATGGAATGAAAACTGGCAAGTTTGCAGCAAAAGCTGCATCAGACACCCTCAAGGAGATTCTCAAGGATGCCAAGGCTATTGCTCTCACGGGCACTGTTGCTTTTGCGTTCGTGGGCGCTTTCATCAGTGCATTCTTTCCCAGCGCAGGTGAGCTTCCAGTAAATCCCTGCACCTTTGCTGAAGATTGGGGCCGCTGCGTTTGGGAACAGGTGAAACCCTTTGTTCAAGAATTCGTGAGCGACAAATTGGATGAAGCTTTCGCGGACATCTGGACAGCGACCTTTGAGGGATATCAGACCCGATTGTGGGCGTTGAATGCAACAGCCTACGAGAACTCGGAAAAGTTCCCCAATGGCACCATCAAACACATGTCAAACAAGACCAGAGATCGAATGCACGATGACCTCAAAGCAGTGCATGATGCGATGCTGGGGAGCATCAGGCTCTTTCTGGTGGACCGTGCGATCAAAACCACAGCTGGAGCCTACTTGTCCCAGTTTGCGTCGTTGCATGTGAGCATCATGACATATCATGACCAACCTCTTGGGCTCTTGGCAGTACCGCACAGAAGGTGATCGCTATGTCTTCCAGACGGTGTCCGCATGCTATGCTCGGCGGGTCTACGAACGTGCGACAGCTGCCCTGAAGTCCCGAACATCTGCTCTAGAGGTGCACGAAGAGGACTTGGGCACCCACAAATGCTGTCCGTGGTCAATGTCACCATGGTGCCTTGGTTCGTCGGACTGCCCCATACAGTCAGGAGACTTTAAAGATACATGGAAGCTCTGCGACTGGAAGAATTCCGGGTATCGCACCTCCTGCGGTGGCGTTTTGAGAATGTGCGGGATGCTGCCTAACGAGTCTGCCAAATCGGACTCTTGGGCATGTTACAAAGCTCATCGCCAGGAGGTTGAGAAGCAAACGGTCCTGTTTTGGCAGAACTGGCTTGCCCCCATTCCTGATTGGTTGAACAATATTGTGTTGATGCAAGCGCTCGAAGTGAAGGCTGGAACTCAAAAAGCAACCAACAGCACTTTTGACTGCTCGGCTCTGTAGGCTGACTATGACTTTAGAGTCTTTAGTTCTATAGATACTCCCTGCTCGTGCTTTGAGAAGATGACTTTCGAACAGTCGCTCAAAGCAACCCACAGCACTTTTGACTGCTCGGCTCTGTAGACTGACTATGACTTTAGAGTCTTTAGTTCTATAGATATTCCCTGCTCGTGCTTTGAGAAGATGACTTTCGAACAGTCGCTCAAAGCAACCCACAGCACTTTTGACTGCTCGGCTCTGTAGACTGACTATGACTTTAGAGTCTTTAGTTCTATAGATATTCCCTGCTCGTGCTTTGAGAAGATGACTTTCGAACAGTCGCTCAAAGCACTCATCAGGATCCTTTTTTGGGTGAACGTTGCGTTCGGCAGCCGAACGTTTTACCAGTGGGCCCGAAACGTGAGCCCGGCATCGGTCGGTTTCGTTTTGCTGTGCAGCACAAGCCTCACAGCTCGTGTTTCGTGAATGGAGCGGAAGCGACGGAGGGAGGTTCTTAAACATCATATAAACACCTAAAGCATCCTAAAGCTTATTGGGGTCCTATACCATCACACTTGTCTTTGGAGAGAAATTGTGATTCTTCAAAGGGAGGTGAAAGTTGCCAAGTAATTAGAACACATGTGACGTACTGGAACTTATATGTGGTGACCAGCCCCCTTGCCATCTCAGACAAAACTCATTTGGTCTACTTCGCGCCTCCATCCCAGTTACTTTGTGTCGGTTGCGAAACCGGCCCGGGATCTCAAGGTCTCCGGGAGGTGCAATTGCCCGAACAACTTGAGAGCTTGACCTTCTGTGACTATGGAGCCGCGGCGTCGCGAAAGGGGGGGTCGAGTTCGGTGCCGTGACGCTCGCGTCGGTGTTGGGATCTTCGCTCACACCGTGACCTGCTGGGAGAGATGGGTGACACTGTGCGTGGGGTACCCGGGTGGGTGAAGAAGAAGGGGATGGCGGAGAGGACGCGGGCTTTGGCGGCTTTTCTTACTGAACAGGCTCTACAATTGGATACTTGGTAATTATGGTGACAAGCAAACCTCCAATTGTGTTTATTGTCTTGTTGTTCCCAGATGTCACCGTGTCAATCATCACCTCGCGAGCATCATCAATATTTTGAAATCGGTTTCATGCATTCTGTGGACCTCCAAATATGTACACTCGATCCCTGAAATAATCATTGGTATGTGGATGGCAAGGCCCCGAAAAAACCGATGACCATGAAGACCAAACAAGTCAAACAGGCGGTGTTTCTTGTTCTTTGTCCACCTTGGTCGACTGCAGGAGGCAATCTACTCACTGTCTCAGACAGTCTGCTACACTCCATGTACACAGTCTACTTTAAAACTCACCTTGGAACGTACCGAGTCGGAGCTGCCTTTCCTCCAAGCTGCTTCGTCCAAGCTGCTCCCGTCGGCTCCTTCGGTCCGAGTCGAGGTCGTCGCCGTTGGGCGATCGGAGGGGTCACCGTCTGGAGCGGTGAAAAGCGGTCGCTCGCTTCTCTAGGGTTGGTATAGACCAAGACCAATGTAGACCAGGGTTCATCATGTTGAGACCAGGCCATTATAGGGATTAATGAAGCCTGCCTATCCCTGCCTCCCTACCCAAGAAAAGTGGATCACCTGCACCCAGAATATATGGCATTCCATTCTAACTGTGGCATATTCTAACTGCCAGTCTTCTACTGTAATGATCTCCAGGGAAACCATCCATAACCATCCCCTGAAAACAGAACAACATCATCCACGACGTCTCCACGAAGTCGAGGAAACTTCCATATGTACCGCATCAATCAAACGAACATGCAGCTGAAAGACCTGGCACATCTCCAGAACTTGAGACGCTCGGCACTGAACGGCACTTCCTCACGCGTTCCTCGATCTCCTTGGAGCTCGGGCGCCGATCGTCCGAGTTGCGGAAGTGTGTTCCGTCCAAACCCCGACGTGGCAGTCCAAGCGTTCGCTCGCTTTCCAATGTCACCACCTGCCACTTTTAAGTCTGCAAAAGCCATCATTTCGGAGACCTGTTTATCGTCGGGTGCTGGCAAATGTCATCAAATGTCGTCGTGTCAAGAAATGTTTCAACCCCCCCACTTCGCTTGGAAGGGACGGTGGCCTGTGCAGGCTCTTCTTTCTGGGCCGGGCTCGGGACTCGAACCGAAGGGGCCAACACTGGTGTTCTCGCCAATGCCGGTTTTGAGGATCGGCTGTGAACAGAGCGTGTCAGGGGTAGGGTGATGTGGATTTTCCCTGTGTCGTGAATGTCCTGGCATGGGGAAGAGCTGTTTGCTTGGTTTTGCTTGTCTGGTTCCTGAATTTAGCAAGTCCAAGTCAAGTCTTCCATGACCCTTCAGTTGATGGAGTCAATGAAACAGACAGTTACTATATGTTACTATTTTTGTGACCCATGGCCAGACTTGAAAACATCGGACACGCAGATCAAACAAAGGGCCCATGGTTGGTTATCTATAAATATATATGATGACTCGTGATCCTTCACGGGGACTGTCATGTAGCGACCGTGTAGCATCACGGCTCGATGCCCCTTTGAGTTGAGGTTAGGGGCCCAGCGTTGCCGCGATGGAGCGAGGTGGACACGACTTGATGTTGTGTGCCGTCCTCGCAGGATGGGCTGAGCCAGACGTAGAAGTTCTGGCCAGCCTAGGATGGACGGCGACGAAGCTTGCCACCTTGAGGCATTGCCGTCAGGAGGTGGTCGAGTCGATCTTGGTCTCGGCCCCGCAAGAAGAAGAAGAACTTCGAGCAGGACGACGAGGGCTTGAGAGCTTTGATCAAGCAGTGTGACAACAGGTCACCGAACATACATCGAGCTGATGCTAGCCGAGGATCACAAGACCTGCTCGAAGCACACCTCATTCACCAGAGGGAGAAGAGGAGGCGAACCTTGGAGAGCCTCGAGGAGCGCGAAGTGATTGAGAGGATCAAGATGGTCGGAACAGCCAAAGTTGTCAAGTGGCCAACTCGGAACTCGGCTAGGAAAGAAATTGCACCTGGCAGGTACAGACTTGGCCTTGAGAGAATTGGCGGAGAAGTCGGAACGTGACAGGTGGTTGATGGAGTTGAAGGCCATCATGAAGAAAGCAAAACTACCAGTGGCCACTCGATCCTCGGAAGACTCCCTCATGCTGAGGATCGCCAAGGGCCGGCGGCCGAACACGTTGAGGAAGCATATCAAGACATGGCAGAAGATTGGGCAGTGGCTGGAGTCGACATTCGAGAAGCCGTGGCCATCAACGCCCACGGAATTCGCCGAGTACCTGGAGGCGATCGTCCAGGAACCATGCGCCAAGTCGGCGCCTGAAGCGGCCTACAAGACGCTCATGTTCCTGGAGTTTGCAGGAGAAGTGGAGGAGAGCCAGTTGCTGCACCGCTCGTCGGCCGTGAAGAACGCCTTGGAGGAGGCGCAACTGAGGCTGTCGTCGGTCGAGTTGAGGCCATCCAGACAAGCACACATTTTGCCGTTATCGGTAGTCATGGCCATGGAGGACATGGTGGTGGATGACGACAGGCTCCCTTTCCCACGGGCATACGCCTGGTATAGGCTGGTGAAGATTTGGGCTGGGCTTCGCTTCGATGACACACGAGGCACTCCGAACAGGAGCATGGAGCTCAGGGAAGGACATCTGGTGGGAGTGATCCACAAGTCGAAGACTTCGGGTCCAGGGAAGAGAGTTCTCCTTCTCCCCTTCTATGTGAGTCGGGAGGCATGGGTCAGCAGGTACAACTGGTTGGAGGTCGGCTGGAAGATCTGGACCCACATGGCACAGCGAACGGGCCACGCTGAGGACTTGGAGACCAGCAGCTGACGAGGGCTACGAAAGGACGACAAGGGCGAACATCCTCAGGAGCCAGAAGGTGATCGCATCCTTCCTTCGGGACAATCGGGGTCGAGGAGATCCCATGGATGAGTCTGCAGTGCTGGAGGCGGTTAGCATTCGCATGGGCATGCTTGGCTACCCCGATGAGGCGATGGAGGTACAGGTGAGGCTGTTGGAGACCTTTCACCCAGAAGAGGTGGCCCTTGAACCGTGCTGGAGGCCAAAGTGGACTCCATCAGGTCCGGTCGTGCTGGTGGAGCCCGATGAGGACACGCCTGTGAAAGATCCAGCGACAGACACTGGTGACTGTGGCTTTGAAACGGAGTTGGAGGAGGAGCCGGCCCAGAGCGGCCAAGTGGTCGCAGCTGAGAAGATAGCTGGCGCATTTGTTGTTTCGATTGTAGGGCGGTCCCAAACGCGGACGCTGCATCGAGTGGGGGAGTGCCATAGGCAACCTGGCACCCACTATGCCCGTTTTGAAGTTCTCGGAGATGAACCTCCGGAAGCCTCGAAATATCATCGAGCTTGCAGGAATTGCTTTGGCAAAGACGCTGCCATGGCAGAAGGGTCTCCGGAAGAAGAAAGTTCCCAGGACGTATCTTCGTCCGACTCTATGGAGTCCGAAGTGGAGGCCTCATCATGAGACATAGAGGTAACTCATGTTGAAGGGACCAGTTCTGCACAGAGCAGGTGTGCGGCAGAAAGTGTGTAATGCTGCATACAGGGGTGGGGAAGAAGGTTCAGAGACAGGCACGAGCAAGTGAAGAAAGTTGAGGGTTTCTTGTTCGATCGGAGTCGCTTTGAGTCGCTCGTTCATGGATCGAAGAACGGTCGTGTCGTTTGGAGAGCTGCAGTGTGAAGCACCCTGCCAGGCATGTGCATGCATTTGACATGGCTCCAGCTCACGCGGCGGGGCCGTGAGGGCGAACTCGCGGGGGAAGGCGCCCTCGCGAGGGTTCACAATGGCGGGTGGAGCAGCAGCCGCACCGGTGTTGGACATCGGTCACGACACACCGGGCAGGAGAGCCAATGCAATATTCTTTGCTTGATGCGGACCTACATGGACTGTTGCAGATCAAGGAGGTCAGCGAAGTGATTCAGGCCAAATTGGCCGTGGCGAAGGTCAGAACGATCAGCAGGTTGAGCACGGTCGCAGACGATCGAGCAGGAGTCAGGAAGATCTGCAAAGACGTGCTGGCCCTAAATGAGACAACGGATGTGATCGACATTGCATCGATGGTTGACTCCCACGACTCGTGGGAGTCCTCTTCGACCCGCATGACAGTGAGGCACAAGGCCGAGGCAGAGGCCGGTTTGGCAAGTCAACCCAGAGCACTGAATAAGGAGATCCAGGACCTGCTGACGAAGTTCCAATCGGTGCACGGGTTGAAACTGGAAGATAGGAACATACCTGCAGCATCCACCTTGGAGCAGACCTTTGACCAGGTAGAACAGGGCGAGCTGAAGAACATGAGCCTGGTACAGTTCGTAAGCAGGGAGGATGCAGAAGCAGATGTGTTCGGGGCTACGATCGAGAAAGGCACTGGAGCTTTGAAGGTGAAGAAGGGCTACAGGGAGTGTCCGAAGCCCAGGACTCCAGAAGAATTTAGACGCAGGATGTCGGTCGTCGCTCACTCTTCTGGCCCAGCTGAAGTTCC